CTGCAGAGCTGTTTCACATATTCTCATTCCTCTCTCCAGCTGCAATTGCACAGGGGCTTTTTCCCTCCTCTTCTGAAATGTGTTATCACAGAGGTGCTACCACCATCACTGATGGCTCAGCCTTGGCCAGCGGTAAGTCCATCTTGGAGGGTTGGCATGGGCTCTGTTGGAGATGATGGACAACGTTCTCACAGCTTCTCACAGAAGCCACCCCCCACTATCAAAAACTTGCCATGCAAACCTAATAAAAGCATAAATGTTCTTCAACCAAGTTAATGCTTGAAGAGCAACTTCTTTTTTTTTTTTTTTTTCCTCCTTCTTTCTTTTGCAATCATTGCTTGCTTGACAGGCCCAGACGGAATTACATCACTTCCTAAAACCCATCAAAGAGAGTCCATCTCCTGAAGACATGCAGCTGAGATGCACCCCGGCAGGAAACAGGAAATGTAAATGTTCGGGTGAAGCAGGGAGCCAGCCGAGAACCCCTCGGCTGGGAGCACCGCCGAGGTAACATGCGAAAGCAAAACCTCATCGCGCTGCTTTCTGCCCTGTCGCTGGCCAGAGGATCTGCCGGTGAGTAAGAAAGCGCCTTTCGCCTTCCGAGGTGGGACTGTGTTTTGTGCCTGCAGCGATGGGATCGAGTCGGAGGGCAACACCCTCCAAACTGCGTGCTAGGAGAAGAGCTGTGGGGACTTGCTCTCCGCTTCTTTTACCTGTGTTTACTTTCTCTGTTTTCAGCTGCCTGACTCTTTTAAAGCTTTGACTTTTTTTCCTTAGACCTAACCCCAAACATCAGCAACCAAATCCTACGATTCCTACATTTCCTAAATTGCAGGTGTGTACCAGAGTTTCCATGTTGGCCTGCCAGGCATTTTGGTTCTAATTTTAATTATTTGTTGTACTTTTTTAATCCCACACCCATACTATCAGCATTCAATAGTAAAGTTAAAGACAGAGCACGGCTTCCATTCAAAAGCTGACTCCCAGTTTCCGTATTGCCAGTGCACAGAAACTGGTTTAACAAAAGAACAGCCGTTCCGGAGGCAAATATTTTGAATTCTCAGCTGCAGAACAAAGTGGTCGGCACTGTGGGTTTAGGTCCTGACCTTCTGAAGGGAAGAACTGTGAGTGAAAAAGCCACTTGTGACAAAATGCTGAAGTGTTTGGTAGTTTCAGAGGCTCTTACCTGTTCACAGGGGTAGTTTGTTCCACCGATATTTTGGCAGCCAGTAACTGCACAAGACAGGCAGCTCTTTTAGTAAAACTTTGCCAGGAGGTGCTCATGTGCCTTTTGGTGTCAGACAAATCACTGCCCAAGTGCCTCAGTATGGACTAGAAGTGTTGGCTGGCTCTGTGCTGCTGTAGCGAGCGAGAGCTCTCCAGAAAGCAGGGAGAGGGGATGGTCACTCTTAGCTGTCACTGGACTTCTCCTATTAAAGTCTTAAAATGAATTGGTGAAATAAGCAGCTTGGTATGGGTATTTTTCCCCTCCACTATGCTATACTATATAGCAGGGTATACTATTATAAGCAGGGTGTAAAAACTGGTCTGCTCACTCCCCGTGTGCCGCTGAGCTGCTCATGGCTGGAAGCCTTGCTCAGCTGTAAGAGTTAGCTAAGGGAGGTATAAAATGGTTTGGTCTTGTCTGCCTTAATACAGCCCTGCTGCATTACACAGATGCTAGGAAAATATGCTGTAAGCATTGAACGCAGCTTGGAATCAAAGTGGTCAGAAGAAAAAATCCCACCCTGAACAGAGCAAAACGAGGGGGGAAACAGAGGGGCATGACACAAGCAAAGCAGAGTGGTCAGGCTCCAGCTTCCTTAGCTCATTTGCAGTGTACTGATCGCTAGTACTCCATCACCATCTTCACAGGCCAGAAGGATGCCTTAGTCCCTGACCCCCAGCCCACGGCTGGGCCCCCCACCCTTCTTTGCAATGGGCATTAAGGGCTGCACAAAGCAGCAGGCAGATGTCACATACCAGGTGCCCCAACCCACTCTCCACTGCCTTTAGAGCTTTCTTACCAGTAGGTCCACTTCAAATTATGGTTGATTTTGGAAGAGTTCCTCCGTAGGGATGAGTCAGTCCTGCCAGTGCTCTCCCCAACCGATTGCCTGCTGTCAGCCCTGGCTCTCCTGAGCCAGTCCCCAGCTGCTGGGGAAGGGGAGGAGAGCACCTGCCTGGAGAAGAGAAGGGACCCTTGCTCCCCATACAAAGGTGGATTTTGCTTGTGCAACCAGCCCCAAAATGTACCTGGGGCTTACTCTGACTGCAAGGGTGGGAGGGGGGGAAGATGTGAACTTGGGCCTTGGGAGGGAAATGGAATGGGAGGGGGAAGCGTTTGTGTAGGGGCTTATGTACCCTACAGGCACGGGTGGATGGGGAGCCCCTCATTACCGAGGGCAGCCTCCCAGTGGGATCCTTTGCTGTCACCCCTCCTTGCTCACAGCTTAACAAGGCAGGACCTTTTGGGAACTTTTCCTTTATCTTCCAGTCCGAGATACAGTCCTTACCTTTAAAGTGGTCTGCTGGAGAAGGGGGGCAGAAGCTCTCACAGATCTTGGAAATTCTTCACTATGAGGGTGGTGAGACACTGGACTAGGTTGCCCAAGGAAGTTGTGGATGTCCCCTCCCTGGAAGTTTTCAAGGCCAGGTTGGATGAGGCTTTGAGCAACCTGATCTAGTGGAAGGTGTCCCTGCTCCTGGCAGTGGGGTTGGAACTAAATGTTCTTTAAGGTCCCTTCCAACCCTAACCATTCTATGATTCTATGATCTCCCAGGTCTCACCTTTACAGTCTAGAAACCATTTATAAAATAGGCAATAAAAGTATCATTAAATCTTTCTGCATATGCAAATTGAAGCCTTTGTAAGTCCTGTACCCAATACCATGCTGGAGCCTTGTAAAACCCTAGCCTTGCCATTTGGATTATGATTAACAGACAGTTTTCTCCCAGCTATGCTACAATTACTCTAAGCTGGTAGCTGTAAGAACATGCCCAAGGTCTTGGCTCTGGGTGCTGACCCTCTCCCAGCCACACACTGAGGGGACATTGGGGTTTGCACCAGTCCCTCTTGCCCATCCCCTTGCTTTCTGCAGGCAGAAAGCCCTGCCAGTGACCTGACAAGGCCAGCAGTGGCCCTCCCTGCTCTGGGTGATGGTGCTTGCTGCTCAGCCTTGCAGCATCCCCAAAGACCTACCTCAGTGTGTGCTGACCCTAGGAACAAGTATTAAGGCCTTTACTATAGTTTATAGGAAAAGGCTCTGACCCTACAGGCATTTCCCAGGGTACGCCAACTCCCTCCATGCTCAGTGAATCACACGGGAAATTACAGTGTACATGGTCTGACGTGGGGAGCAAGACAACGAGTGAGGGAGAGAAGCAGTAAAGCCTGTAAGGCCGTGAAGTGGAAGAGCTGGGACAGTGGCAGGTAGGGCTTTATTTCAGCTGTGTCTCTGCACTGTTGTTTTGAGCTGTCATTCAAAGACACATAGCTAGCAAAGATCCAGATATTCAGCAGCTTGTCCCATGAAAACAGGCAGTAACTCTCTCTCTCTGGTAGAGAAGTGCCTTTTAGGTAAAGTCCCCTACAAAGCCAACATCTCCAAGGGAGTGATATTTTTGACCTGTTCCCCCCTGGAGTGATGAACTCAAGAATGGGTTTCAACCCATCAGTCGCCTGTTACAACTTCCTAACAAAGCAACAATATAAGAAATGAGGATTTGCTACATCCTCTCTTGCCAAAGTGCAGCCCCCTAAAAAGCAGATGAAAACCCCTTTCTACTGAACACATCAATTCCTTCTACATATTTGCTCCTATTCCTCCCTTTTATCCACACACCCAAACTTCCATTGTGTTTTATTCCAGTGCTCCAGGGACATTTCAGAAAATCTCTCCTTTGTATCAGCAAGATTGTATACTAAATTTCAGTCAATGACCCCAGTTCATTTTCCCTCAAGAGATTTTATGATAGCTAGAGAGCCTCTGGAGCTTTTGAATCCTTAATTTCAGGGTCCTCCTGAGAGCAAGGAGCACTGAGAGATTTGCATCACAAGGAGGTCTCATGGGTATCACTGATGCAGAGCCAGAAGGCCACGAGACTAAGTAGACACAACTAAATGCATAAATTGGTCTCAAAAACCTTTAGTACTGGGGGTGAGAAATGAGACCACAGGTTCACAGCTCGACTCTAAGATGCATGACTGAATTTGCAACACCATCAGTAAATGCGGCACTTCAGCCAGATAGAAGTACAGTGAGGAGAAAGCAGTTTCCATCATCTATAAATGAACTTCAACAGTTGTTTCCTCTTTCAGGTTATACTTAGATAACACCTTCTAAGCACCCTGTTTTAATAGGATCTTGTCTACAGATGAGCCATCCTGAAATGTTTGTGCTCCCTCATCAGAAGAGCGTATGCACCCACAGCTAGCCTGCAGGCTGTTAAGGATTCCTCTTCTAGCCAGGCTGATGTGGGACCTGCTGCAGCAGGCAGCTGGGCAAGCCCTGGCCCTGGCAAGGAACGGCCCTTCTTACAACAACGTGCAATGCAAGGAGAGGAACAGAACAGGGATGAGTCAAGCAATAGGAGAGAGGATCATAGGGACCACGTGGAGTCATATGGCTATACCACCAGGAATGTGTGTAGGGAGCAGAGTGATATAGGATATGGCAGCTTTACTCCAGAATACACAGCTTTATAGATTTTTCTTGTTTTGTCACTCTCTCACCAGTCTTCCTTTAACTGCATTTTTATAACTTAAAGGAAAGTCTGGATAAATAAAAAATTCCCTTTCAAACTAGTAAGCTTGACTATCCCATTAACTTAGCTCTTGCTTTTCCTCTATCCCATCCCTTTTTCTTCTCTAAGTATATACTACAGTATAATTTGAAAAACTCCTTTCAGAGACCCAAATCCTTGAGTTTGATGAGAAGGCAGCAGGGGGACTGATGATTCTACAGCAGAACCGAATGTGCTGACTGCCTGCTGTTTTCCTTTGCCTCGCATCCGACTAAACTCAGAAACCTGTTTGCCCACTCGCTTCACTAAGAAGCTCATATCACCACCTCCAAGTGCCACAGCACAAACCTCAGAGGAAGAAATGCTGCAACAACAGAAATGTTGTTTGTTTGGACTCCTGTCTGCAAAGCTGCTCCATATATCCCACTGCCTCTGTCTCCCATGAAAGGCAGGTTTGGAAAAACTCACACAAAGTCCATAAGTAATCCAAGCATATTTTTAAAGTAGAAAATACTGAATAATATCCTATACCATGTTATCTGCATACAGGGACATAGCCTTCTTATAATTCATAAAAACTGTCATGAAACCTTTTTTGAGCTGCTGCTAGTGCTTGCTTGGGCATTTTGCTCCCCTGAGGAGTAGATTCTCTCCTACCTCACTGGTGGGAACCTGAGGATTTCTTAGCTTCCAGCTCCTGCTTCTTAGCTTCCAATTCCAGCTGTGCCCAGCTCCCCGTCAGGGTGGGACACAACTGCACACAGCCCCCCATCAGGGTGGGACACAACTGCACACAGCCCCTCTCCCTTCTGTTCTTGAAAGCATAGGAAGTGTCAGTATGGGCTGGGCTGAAGCTGTGGCGTGCTCCATCCACTTCCCTCAGCACAGGGAGAAGTCACCAGCACTCAGGCAGTCTAGACAAAGCTGAAGCTGATAGCGGTTGTGTGAGCACCTGCTCCTTGTCCAAGAAGCGCAGAGGGCCAAGTACAGATGTCAGACCATAGCCAACAGCATGAGGTTGAGCTCAGCAAGAAGGAGGGCACTGGCTTTGCAAAGTCAAGGAGATATCTACATAGTCAGATGTGTCTTGCTCCTTGTTCCACTCCACTTGCTTTGGGTTTCCATCCCGAGTGTATGTTACATTATGTTATGATCAGACTCCCTTTTGGAATGAACTAGTAAAACCCAAGCAAAGTTGACAAAATGGTTTATGATATGAAGGACCACTGGAAATCTGGTTCCCTCCAGGCATGGAGAAAACGTTTGAATAGCATCTCACAAAATCTCCAACTTTTAGATTCTCTCCTGCCCTGCTCCAAACCTTGCAACATCCATCTTTCATTCACCCTACAAAACAGCCACTGGGGTGCACTGCCACAGCTGCAACACAGCCCGCTTGCTATTTTGAGCACTTTAAACTGAAACGCTACAAAAAAATAATGACTACCTCGGGGCCAGCCACGTGGGTCTCATGTGGCCCAGGCAGCTGGCTGCAGCGAGCGCTGCGCCTGCACGGGGGGGCCTGAGCCCATCCCTCCCCAGCAGGATGGAGGCACAAATCCTTCCTCGGTGCAAGCCACTAGGCCCACCCAGGTGCAGGTTGTGATTTTCCTACCCTGTAAAAAATGTGATGTGTGGATAGCCTCAAAGCAAGAATAGCCCTTGTGTGACAAAAATGGCATCCCTTGGGTCTGAGCTCTGGTCCTCAGAGGTGTCGGGTGGAAGAGCTCGAGGGAGACGTGGAGGCACCAGGTGAAACACAGGAAATAAGAGCAATATCCTTGCAAGAACATTGTGCAATTGGCTGTCCTTCTGCTGAAAGATGTATTTAATTCACTCAGAGAAAAGATCTCTGTAAGAGGAAATGGTGTTCAGAGAAGAGATGTTGTTTTGTCCTTGGAATTATGCAAACTGAACAAAAATATGCAGTAGCAAGGTCACTCCCTGTGATTTACCATTTTCTTTGCCTAGAGACTAGAAAAGGTAATTCTGTTTCACACAGAGATAAATGGTTTGGAATCTGCTTCATAGCTCAAAACCAGGCAAATATAAAGTACCAGGGACACTGGAAAAGTCTCTCTTGGAAATGAAATGCAGCATACGCTACAGCTGAAAGTTTAGCCCTGCAGTTAATGAGGTATGACTGTTTGCTTTTGCTTTAAAGTCACACCATGCTCTAGACAGTTGAAAAAATTCAGTTTAGCTCCAAGAGTAAATGAAAAACAAGGCATTTTCCCTACGCCCTTTCTCATTTGTACTATTTTTAGCAACAGACTTGTCCTTGCCAATACATCAAGTGAGGCAGACGAGGGTTTAAAGGACGATGGCCACAGGAGGAAAATGAAGCAAGGTCATCAAAGCAGTTCAGTAAGGCCAAAGCAGCCCATCGACTCCACCAGCACTGTGGTCCATCACGCCGCAGTCTGCAGCGTGGCCATCTTTGGTGATACCTCACTGCTCTGTGCAACAGCATCGAAACGGAGTGGCTGCAGGCGCTGGGGACTATCCACTACCTTGGGAAAGAAAAGTCAAGTGGTCAAAACTAATAAAAGAGAGGAACTCTCCCTCCTGTCTTCTCCAACAGGATTAACAAGGGCCAGCAGATCATGGGAAGAGTGGGGGAGCACACATGTAAGGGGTCATTACCCGCAAGGGAGGCAGAGACCATGTCTTGCTCTTGATTCAAATACTAAATACAGAAGAATACAACATAGAGACTATCAATACAAAGTATTTTGCCACTGAAGAGCTAACATTTTCATTGTCATATTGCAGTGAAAGAGTCTGTTGATCTTGGCAGTATTAAATACTATATTCAAGTATTAGATATTACTTATTAAGTATTAACATTCTTTCCTAGTTTTTAGGAAAGGATGAAACAATCAGGTGCCTGAAAGATAAGCACAGCATAAAAATCTAGATAAATCACTGATGTGACACTCAAATAATTTTATTCATCTGAAATTGGTTTTCCTGGAATAGTCTCATGAGATACTCCTCTTTGAGACAAATCTAGCAGGAGATGCTACAGAGTGGATTAAGCAAGAGATAGCGCTCTAATCCATATTTTCCTCTCTCACTTGGTGTCCCTGGGAAGGACAGCATCCTGTCCTTCTGATTTCTCATTTGTAAAATGGAGATGATAACTGCTCATCTCTCAGGGCCATTATGAAGATTAATGTGTTTACAAAAGCATTTAAAATGCTAAGTACTTTTGGTTCCAGTCCTGTGAGATTTGAAATGCCAGCACTGAGGTGCTGGAAACCTTAAGCTCTTGCTAACTCTAGTGGAAATGATGGCTGCCCAGCACTTTACAAGAACGGGGAGAAACATGTCATTACAAAAGTCATGAAATCACATCCTGCTTTTTCTGCATAAAATGAGAGCTGCACCATGCCAGCATTGTATCTGAAAGGGCATAACACAAAAAATCATCATTTAATTTCATGCTAAGAAAATTATTGAAGGTTTTGCAGTCAGAAACACATTGGTATAATTTATCCAGGGACTGATTCCTGCACCCCTGGCTACAACAGGAATTTTGGCATCAGCACAGAATACAGTATCAGCCCAGAATTTGCTGTACTTCTGCTAAGCTTGAAATTCCATGATAGTCAATACAGACTCTTAATTAGCCTCAAAAACATCTTGTTTCACTATTAGCAGTATAGACAGTTTTAGCCCCTTTCCTAGCAAAATATATGCTAAATGAAACCAAAACCCAAACCAAGATTCAAAATCCCCAGTCTTAGCATTTGTGAAGAATACTCAGCACTGACTCTTTACTGTTTGCTCTTTTACCCAGCCCACAGGATCAGACAGAGGAGCAGTTGGTTGCATTTATACCCAGTAAAGTCCCAGTGTTATTACTACTTCTAGTCCATGCAGAAGTGAAAGTCAGCAGCTTCTGCAGGCTTCAGACTTCCTTTCACCAGTTCTGTTTTTCACAGTGAAACAAATTTAACACATTTGAGAAAGGCACAGAAACAGGGAGATGAGTGATCCAGAGGAACCAGTGAACCTTGGATAACGGTCTCCCTGAAGGGAATACTAACTCCTTGGGTAAATGGGGTGGGCTGAAAGAGGTTTTGGCCGTGCATACCAAGGCTGAGGAGCAAAGCAGGATGGTGTGGTCTGCTTAGCAGAAGACTTTTACATTAGAGCGAAACCGGATGCCAACCTGCAGGAAAAAAAGTCTGTTTGTGCAAGACAGCTGCATGCAGACAGACCACACATCCTGATGCGTCCCAGTAAAACTCAACTGAAGGACATGGTTTGGACTGGTAAGATTTTGTGACCAATTTGCAATCTAATTTTACATCTGAAGCCCAAGATTTCAAAACTGTGTGTATGGGGCATCTGCTAAATTTTTTTTTAAGATGTCAAATGAAAAGTAAATATTAAAGCTGTACACTTTGACTCACTGATAATACCAATAAACCCCATAAAAATGTTTAGTTGTCCTCATATATTTGGCAGGCTCTGAAGATGCTGGTTCAGGAGATGGATCACCGATACTATCCACCATTACAGTAACGCCTCCTCCTGCTACACGTTCTTTGACTGTGTATGACCACGAGCCAGTAATTGTCACTGCGAGAGCTACTGAGAGCAG